TCCTTTGTCCAACTCTTTCTCTCTCTTTGGGCTCTATCATATCGTTTACTCCCTACCCCACCCACCTCCCTATTTTCTGCATATAAACTGACGTGTTCCCAGCCACCATCAGTTCTGAGGAAGGGTCACCAGACCTGAAAGGTTATCTCTGTTTTCTCCTCCACAGATGCTGCCACACCTGCTGAGCTTTTCCAGCAGCTTTGTTTTTGTTCCTGACTTACAGCATCCGCAGTTCTTTTGGTTTTGGTCCCCAAGGGACTGTGTCCCTGGTTCTAGATTCACCAACTAGGGAAAACATCCTCCCTACCTCTGGTGTGTCCAGTCCTGTCATAATATATTTTTAATCAGATCCCCTGTCATCAAATTCAGAAGTCTGAAGTGCAAAGAGACTTGGCAGTTCTAATCCAGGATTCTATCAAGGTAAACTTGCAGGTTGAGTCAGTAGTCAGGAAGGCAAATGCAATGTTGGCATTTATTTTGAGAGGACTTGAATATAAAAGCAAGGATGTTCTACTGAGGCTTTATAAGGCGTTGGTCAGGCCACATTTGGAGTATTGTGTGCAGTTTTGGGCCCCATATCTCAGGAAAGATGTACTGGCCCCGGAGCGGGTTCAGAGGAGGTTGACTAGAATGGTCCCAGGAATGGAAAGCTTTGCATATGAGGAATGTTTGAGGACTCTGGGACTATACTGATTGGAATTTGGAAGGATGAGGGGGGATATAATTGAAACTTTTAAATTGCTGAAGGGCCTGGACAAAGTGGATGTTGGAAAGATGCTTCCATTGGTAGGAGAGTCTAGGACCCGAGGGCACAGCCTTAAAGTAAAGGGAAGACCTCTTAGAACAGAGATAAGGAGAGAAACTTCTTCAGCCAGAGAGTGATGAATCTATAGAATTCACTGCCACTGAAGGCTGTGGAGGCCAGGTCATTGAGTACATTTAAGACTGAGATAGATAAGTTCTTGATTATCAAGGGGATCAAGGGTTACAGGGAGAAAGCAGGAGAATGGGGTTGAGGAACTTATCAGTTATGATTGAATGGCGGAGCAGACTCAATGGGCCGAATGACCTAATTTCTGTTCCTATGTCTTATGGTATTACGGTCTTTCTATACTTTAGTGAATATAGGCTCAGTCAAAGCAATCTCTCCTCATAGGACAGTGCTGCTCTCTTTGGTATCAGCCTAATGAATCTTTGCTGCATTCCCTCTATAACAAATATATCCTTTCTTAGGTAGAGAAACCAAAACTCACAAGGCCCTGTATAAGATGTAGGAACAGAAGTAGGCCAATAGTTGTGTCAAGTCTGCTCCACCATTGCTTTTTCCCCATACCTCTTGATTCCCCTACTGAAGAGGGAAATCTGCCTACGCAGCCTTGAATATATTTCATCACCTAGCCTTGACAGCAGTCTACAGTAAAGGATTCTATACATTCACAACATTCTGAGAAATGTAATTTCTCGTCATCTATCTTAAATGGATGACCCCTTGCTCTGAGATTATGCCCTCTCAACGTCCACAAGTTAAAACATCCTTTTTGCATTTACCTTGTCAGGTCCCTTATGAACCTTGTATTTTTCTTATCCTCTCATGGGAGATAGGTGTTGTTGACTCAGCCAGCATTTAGTGACAATGAAGGAATGGCAATATATTTCCAAGTCGTATGGTGAATGGCTTGGAGAGGAGATTGCAGGTGGTGGTGTTCCTATGTATCTACTGCCCTTGTCCTTCTCGATGGAAGTGGTCATGAGTTTGGAAGATGCTGTCTTATGATCTTTGGTGAATTTCTGCCATACATCTTGTAGATTTTACATATTGCAATGACTGAGCATTGCTAATGGAGAGAGTGGATGTGATAGCAAGTGATAGTTTCTGGATGGTGCCTTTTCTGTGTTGTTGGAGCTGCACTCATTCAGGCAAGTGGGGAGTATTCCATCGTTCTTCTCAGTGCGTTACATGCTGCAGCATTCATGGCCTCTATTTATATGGCTAGTCCAGTTCACTTTCTGTCAATGGTAACCCAGGATGTTAATTTTGGAGGATTCAGTGATGCTGAGGCCTTTGAATGTTTAGAGGTGATGGCTAGATTGTCCCTTATTGGAGATGGTCATTGTCTGGCATTTGCATGGTGTGAACATTACTTTGCCACTTTTCAGCCCAAGCCTGGATATTATTCAGGTTTTGCTGCATTTGGACTTGGACTGCTTCAGTCTCTGAGGAGTTGCTAATGGTGCTGAACTTTGTGTAATCAGTTTGATTTTTTTAATTTCTTCCCTACACCCTTACACCACTTAATTATTTAGTAATTTTGGGATTATATTAATATTCTCTACTGAAGAAAAATGCAATGTATTTATTGAACTCCTCTGGCATTTCCTTGTTCACAAATTTTATTCCCCAGCTTTGTTCTCTAAGTAACCGATGTCCACTTTGGCCTTTCATTTCCTTTTTTGTATTTAAAGAAGCTCTTACTGTCCATTTTTATATTATTTGTTTGTTTGTCCTCATTGCTAATTTTCTCCTATTTATTAGACATTGCTCATCTTTTGTTGGCTTTTAGACTTTCCCAATCCTCTGGCTACTACTTAACTTTGTAGCATTGTTTTGTTTTGTCAATTTGACGTACTTTTAATCAATCCATTCAGAGATATTATTACACACCTCTGGAGCATATGGAACTTTATCCTGGGATTCCTGGCTCAAAGGTTGGGACACTACCACTGTGCTAAAAGAGCCCTTTTTTTTAAAATTTGATGCTATTTTTAACCTCCTAGCTAACCAAGGTGAATTTATTCCTGCCCTATAATCCTTGTTCCTCAGTGGGATATATCTTTCCGGTAAGTCATCTACTGTATTCTTAAATGTCCACCATTGTTCCTTATCTGTCTTTTCTCCTAAATTCTTTTCCAAGTCCACACCAGCCAACTTTTCTCTTGCCTTATATAATTACCCTGATTTTAAGTTTGGCACAGTTGTTTTTAACCCAGTTCCTCACTATCAAACTGAATGCTAAATTCTAATGTGTTGTGTTCCCTAGGGGATCTTTTACTCAGAGTTCATTCATTACACCTGCCTCATTGCACATTACCAGATTCAAAATAGCCTAATCCCTGGTTGGATCACAGCAATTTGTTTCATATAACTGCCCTAAATACCCTATGAATTCTTCCTATTGGCTACCTTTGCAAATTTGATTTTCACATTCTACATGAAGATTAAAGTAGCCCGTGATTAGTGTACTGCTTTTTTTACATGTCCTCATGATCTCTTGATTTCTTCTTTGTCCTTCAAAACAGCTACTGTGTGCGTACCTATAGACTACTCCCACTAGTGTCTTCTTTCCTTGTTATTTCTTACCTCCACCAAGATGGATTCTACATCTTTTAATTTCATAATAATTCTTGCTTTCATAGTTGTCCTATCTCATGCTAATGAAGTTATCCCTCCACCCTTTCATTCCTGTCTGTACTTTTGGAAAGTCATATATCCCTGAATATCTACAGCCATCAATACAGTTCTTCAATTCCCTGGAAATACTGGTTCTAGCGCAGTTCAAGTGAAGCCAGTTCCATTGGAAAAGCTTCCTTCTATCTCAGTATTTGGTGCGACTGCTTCATGAGCTTAAACCCTTTCCTCACATGCCAATCTTTAAGCCATGCAGTTAATTTCTTGATTTTATTTGTCCTGTGCCAGTTTGCCTGAATGAATCCTGGCAACAAGCAGGCAGTGCAGACTTTAGGCTCATATATGGCTGCAGAGAACAGTATCTATCCTCCTAATTATATTATATCCTTCTATTTGCAACTCCTCAACTCAAATCTGAAGTTTGTCAAGCTGTAAACAGTTGAGCAAATGTGTTCATGATGGATCATCTTGGTGTCAGGCACCTTCTATTTACTCCAGCTGCTATTTGTTATTAATTAAATCATTCTAGTATCCCACTCTGAATACATCAGTATTATTTTATTATTTTTTAACAGACTATTATCAATTTTACACCTAACAAGTAAACGAGAAAAAAAAAGACTAGAGACTAATATATAAACTACAGACTTTTTTTTTACTTTAAGGGCTAGAAGCACTTACCAATCCTATTCCTTGTCTAGGCAGGGCAACCAAATGTCTCTCTCCATCCACCACTTAACTCCTTGAGACATTCAATTTCAACTCTGTATTCAAAGATGCAAGCCTCGGTGCTATGTTACACTAATTTAGCTACTTGTATATGTTTCCAACGCAAAGGGCCTATCTGGGTTAGTTAATGAGGACTCAGTTTCAGCCTATTTTTAATTCAGCTGCACAATCAATGGACCCTTTGAAAATAAACATACTCAAACCTCACTACTACAGTGCTTTAAACTACAGATTTACTTGCATGCCAACTACAAATTAGGCTAAATTAGCTTAGCATAAAATAAAAATTTAGGCACTTTCTTACTGAGCAAATGCATGCACTCAGTCCAAGGCTAAACTGAATTTGTGAGTTGAATTTATATGCTCCCAAACAAAGGGCTTGCCTTACTTAATTATTGTGGATCTAGTTTCAGCCAGTTCCCAAGTAGGGTGCTCTGTCAAAAATTCTCTGTAAAAAATGTTCTGTAAAATCATCCAGGGCTAGAATAGAGTCGACTAGAATAGGGCCTGTGCACCTCTGATCCCTCACCTGGCCTAGGTTAAAATCAAGCCTCATAGCAATGGCTGTAAAATGAATGTTGACCTGTTGGGCGTATTCTTAATATAATCGAAGTGTCCAGGTGATGGTTCAAGAGTAAATATCATCTTATGATTTTTTTATTCACTTATATAAATGTCAACTGCACTCTTGATACCTGGGTAAAGTACAGATGTGATTTAAATTTTATTTTTTTTGTGTAAGAATTGTAACAGTTAGGCTGCTTGTTTTACTATCCATCAAATTTATCTTTCTCAGTATTCTTGACTGAATCATGGAATCAAAATAATCTATTCTAATGGACCATTCATTCTCCTGTATCTCCAGAGTTGAAAGGAAAGAACGATCTAGACTTAAGACTGTAAAGTTCAATGCCAATCCTGGAGTGATTGATGCCAAAGGGGTAAGTGAAGAAAGTAATGCTATTGTTGCACACTGAATTAGATAGTTCCCAGAGCTCCATTTGCCATGCAGCATTTGAGATCCCAAGAGAAACTCTGGTTGAATTGAAAATGGTTTAAAATAGAATAACATTCCTAAAGGTCCATTTAGATTCAATGCATACCTATAATTATCATACCTGAATAATTTACTGTGATGCACAATATATTGCAAACAGGTTAAGCTCATACGGAGTACGAAAATACATAGTGTGACCTTTTCATATGTAACATTTTAAAATACTAGATACTGACAGTTGTTCCTGCATCTTTTGCATTTCACTACTATTTTTCTCATCAAAGTAACAAACAAAGTTAGAACTTAGAAATATGTAAACCATTTGTATCTAGTATGAAAACTTAGTCTTTAAAATTATTTAATGTAAGAAATGTTGTACTTAAAATTTAACAGACAATCCTAGTACTGCCAAAGGTAGTAGAAGTAAAACCTTTGGTAAAGGTAATGTTGATCTTCAACTACAACAAATTTTACTGAGCATTTTTCTGAGAGGGCACAGATTTCATTGAGCTAATTAATTTCATTGAATTAAAATGCATATCTGACAGACTTTTCAACAATATGGTTCAAACTCACATTCTACAAATATTGCAGATTTGTATATAAAACATAGAACATTACAGCGCAGTACAGGCCCTTTGGCCCTCGATGTTGCACCCAGCTATGAAACCAATCTGAAGCCCATCTAACCTAAACTATTCCATTATCATCCATATGTTTATCCAATGACCATTTAAATGCCCTTAAAGTTGGCGAGTCTACTACTTTTGCAGGCAGGGCATTCCACGCCCTTACTACTCTCTGAGTAAAGAACCTACCTCTGACATCTGTCCTATATCTATCATCCCTCAATTTAAAGCTATGTCCCCTCATGCTAGCCACCACCATCCGAGGAAAAAGGCTCCCACTGTCCACCCTATCTAATCCTCTGATCATCTTGTATGTCTCTATTAAGTCACCTCTTAACCTTCCTCTCTCTAATGAAAACAGCCTCAAGTATGCAGATATCTAGCAATAGAAACGGTTCTGCAACAACATTTAACAGAGCAATAGCAATCATCAGAAGAATGACATTCACCAGAAAAGGAGCATCACACTAGGAACAAACAGATACAAAATAAACAGCCAATGACATTTGAACACATACCATTAGGAGACAGCATGATTTACTGACTACTCAGAGATAGTAGGAGCTGCCGATGCTGGAGAATCTGAGATAACCAGGTGTAGAGCTGGATGAACACGGCAGGCCAGGCAGCACCAGAGGAGCAGGAACGCCGCCCCCCCCCCGGGCCCAGACCCCTCTTCAGAAAATGAAGGTCCAGACCCAAAACGTCAGCTTCCCTGCTCCTCCGATGCTGCCCGGCCCGCCGCGCCCATCCAGCTCTACAGGAGCCAGACTTTGTAATGATGCAAGATAACTGGAGATCATATAGCAGTAAGATGAAAATACTCGAATATTTCATTAGAATTGATGAAAGATAATTGGCACAATGTTTAAAATATTGCTAACTTTCTTAAAACAGAGTTGAACTAATTACCAGCTAATGTTTTGGATGTTTATTTTGAAAATGTTTTGACTCCTCTAAACATCACATTGATTTCTGTTTTGTCACTGCAAATGATTGTTTCTACAAAATAATGACCTATATTGCATCAGCAAAGCAATAATTGTATTTTATTCTAAGTCTTCTAAAAACAACGAAAAAAGTACTTCAAAAGAGAATGTGATTGCTATAAATTGTTTTGTTCAATATTCATTCACTGTTCAATATTTTAATACACGTTTAATTTCTGGCTTCTTGCTTTTTACGTGTTGATCTATTTATGAAAGCTAATCTGCAGTCAATGGGCAAGTACCAGCCATACTAATTGTAATATAATTATATTTTCTAAATTTCTTCAGTTTTAGTAATACACAAAAATCTTCCATTTAACCTTATCCAAATATCCTAAGGATAATTTATTCAGACTATTTAAACCAAAATGCAGATGAACTGTTATAGTTGACAGATGAAAAGATCTTGGAACTGACTGGAAGAAAAATATAGGCAGTGAGCAAGATACAAACCAATCATTACACTTTAATGTTATTTCAATCAATCTTTCTAGGGATATGACCCATATCGGAATCCAGTATAAATGGATTATTGATTTTTGTTTTGCTTTGACTCACAGATTACTGAACTGAACTTTTATAGTTGGATATAGCACTGAGATATTACTTCTTAAATTAATTGTATCATTGCCTAGCATCAATTTATGTACTTCTAGCAGTGGGTCACCAGAGGTCAATCAGGAGTGGAAATCAGCCTCCATTAAGACTATTTGTGTCTTCCTGAAATAAGTAGTGCAGAATCTTCCAAGGAGTGGCAATCACAGTTCAATTGCCACCACATTCCATTTTACTTATATTGTCCTGTAGTTCTACATTTCTGGCCTGAACCTCTGGTTCGGGTTTTTTGAGAAAAGAGGTGTGTATTTGTTCAGAGAGCCTTCCAGTGCAGTGTTGGTTCAGCACCGGAGACGAAACACTGTTTTTACACCAGTCATTGCTGTGTTCTCATGTTTGAAGATCAAAATGGTAATTGACAAGCTACAGGGTAAGATGGGAAGATAAGGGGGTAGGGTGGCAGGTGATTCAGCTAGTGAGGGGGTTAAGTGCCAGGGGGGTGAGGAGGTAGGGTGGCAGGTCAATGTGGGGTTAGGGTGATAGGTAAATGTGAGGGGAGTAGGGTGGCAAGTGAGTGAGGATGAAAGGTCCCAGGTAGTGATTGGTAGTGGATTGGGGGTATGGCAAGTGGGCTTGAGGATAATGATCCAGATACGTATGTGAGGGAATAGGGTCTCAGTAAATTGAGTGAGGGATTAGACTGGCACCAGAATAATGATCATAGAAACATAGAACATAGGAGCAGGAGGAGGCCATTCGGCCCTTCGAGCCTGCTTCACCTTTCTTCGCGATCATGGCTGATCATCCAACTCAATTGCCTAATCCTGCTTTCTCCCCATAACGTTTGATCCCATTCGCTCCAAGTGCTACAGAGATTGGCAGAGCAATTTTATAGTTATCCATGGGCTTGAACAGGTTTAATCCTTCTAACATTTCCTCAATTGCCATCTAATTAATTTAGTAAGAACCTTCAAAAGTCTCCAATTCTAACTCAGAGTTGAGTATACTTTCAGAGTATTTCAGATTTCAGGTAATTGCTCATCAAAGACTAAATGACCCAGACAATTACTGTATAGTTAGCATGTTGGACTCCCAATGGATCTCATAGCGCATGTGTCAGGGTATTGAGTTGAATTATTTGTTTTCACTTTATTTAACAAATGAAAACTGTAATATGTTGCCATTATCTGCTGCCATTTTGAGTTACAGAAGATATTAAGATATAAAATAAATGTAACTAAAACCAGAGTTCTTCCTCCCTTCTTGTGCTACGCTTGACATTGGGGGGTGTAGGGGGTCTTCACAATGGGCTCCATGCCCGTCAATGCACCCACATCACAGTCCTTTCCGGGAGTTCTGCTCCAGGGCCACAACCGCCATTGCTCTGCTACCACTCTGCCACCAGGAGCACCACACCTAGTCTCTGAGTACCTAGATGCAGCAAAATCTGGGCCTAAGTACAGAATGTGAAACCATTTAACCAACCTTTTATGTTAAACTTCACTGTCATCCAAGGAGTTTCTTAAAACTACTTTTGTGGTCAGAAAGGATCATTGCAATTTTAGGAAAAGCAGTCCAGAACTATATATCACATGTTTACGGTGAGGTAATATTTCATGAAAGCAATATAAATTCATTATCAGATTGCATATATATTAACTGTGACAAAACAAAAACTTTCCCACTCTCTTTACAAGAATTACTTCATGTTTCTTAACAAGATATTGTGCATTTAATAATCCAAAAGTGCTTTTCTTTTGCATTATTCATTTAGTTTGATTTTCTCTAGCATATCTAAATGTAAAAGAACATCGAATCTTATTGTCATAGCACGTTCTGCCTTGGAAAAGGGATCAAGCTGTACTTCAGCAGGAATTGCAGTTGTCTTTGGTTTCAGTTACCCACATTGAATTTAAAAATCCAAATGAGATAACAAGAACAACAAGCTCATCTATTGGAAATTAATTCTGTAAAGCAATCTTATCAATTGCTGCTGCTGCTTGTAGATTCTCCAATCAGGAGATCTGCTGTCATGGTATTCCACACTCTTCACAAATTCTTTGGAGCCCAGCTGAATCAATCTGTGACATCTGTTACCCAACTGTACCTAAGTTAACACCACTTTCTGCTGCCCTCTATTTTGCCGTCAAGAAGAGATCTGTACAGTTTGACAGCGCTGAGCAAGGCCAAAGTACTGACATTTTATCAAATACATTCAAGTATCTGTTTATTTGTGTTATGAATTTTTAGCATTCATCTTAGCATCCACGTTTTAAAGGTCTTTATTTTCTTTCAGAGATCTTTGTTTGATGTCCAGGTTTTTGAGGTATACACAAAAGTGGATAGAATATAACATTGTATGAGACATTTTCTTGTTACAAGCTTGGGATGCCTTGTTGTTCGTATTCCGTTCATCTTCAAAAAATAAATTCTGGATATCCCTATCTTTCTGTGAATTTCTGCAAAGCAACTGTCGTCTTCTGTTATCATTCCAAGACTGCTATTGATTAATGAAAACAAAGCCCTTATCATGACCTTTTTCTTTACAACATACGTTTTGGCATTTATAAGGCAATTTTAATATGTTGTCTTTACTAATGAGGATTATCATTGATAATTTCAATCAAACCTGTCCAACCATTTAGAACAAGACGCCAGGTCCATGTGCAACAATCACTGAGTGGGCAGTGAATGTTTTTATTTTAAATGAGCCAAGTATAATCAGAGTTAAACATTATATTGAGGATAATTAAATTCTTTTGTAATTAAAC